GCAACTACATGGGGAGAAAATTTGTACATCTCATATCTAAAAATTGCATTTGGAGAACTTTATGTCAAGTTTCATTCTTTTTAGAATTTCGAACATTTCGTTTCTCATGTTCCTATTTACTCTTAGGATACATCAGCATGCCATTGGTAAACACTATAACAAATCGATCAACAAAAATACTTACATATTTGATTCATCATATCCACAAATATCGTTGGAGCGCTTGTCGCCCAAATGGAGCGACCAAAAATTTGTAGTGTCCATATCTCATCCTAAGTTTTTTTTTAATAAATCAATAATAATAGTTTAAAGTTTGTATTATATAATAAATAAACATTGTAGAATAAAATATAACACAATAGTTGAATTTTACAAAATATTTGATTAACTATTATGTGTGTACATATAAAAATCATTAAAAAATAAAATTTAAATGTAATAACACTTTAAATTGAACGTATTTTGAAGGTTAAAAAATTAAAATGTTCAGATCACAATCCATAAGAGTTATTGGATGCATATCAGTGGGTCTTAGTCAAAGGATGTATGGATTCAAAGTGATCACCATGATGGTTTGAAAAAAGGATATTGTAAAACTCCACTTTTAATTTCAAAAATTAGCTCCATAGCAACACTTTCCTACATCATAATTCTCAAAATGTAATTATTTCGCCAGTAAAAAATCAAAAATAAAATCATAATCAGGTTTATCAAACACTAGAAAACTTATTATTACAACTTCAAATAACCTTAAGCAAAATTAAGGAAAAAAAAAAAACAAGATCATCTTGATGGGATACCTTTCCTACATATCATTTACTAACAAATTACACCAAATAGCTAAATCCTACAACAACAAACCAAATCCCAATTACATAAAATCCAATTGATGATTCCCTTTTTTTGGCAGCATTAACACTTGAATGCCATTCACATCTTCTCAATGTAATCGTTTTCCAGTGAAATCCATGTTGTAGCAAGTAGGATTGCAAGGATAAGGACAATCAATGTATTTTGTTACTTTTCTCTCAAAAAACCAATCACCAACTGATTCTGCAATAGTCTATTCAACCACAAACAAACAAAATATCAACTCTTTCTTTACTCACTTATCATAACTTTCTTTCATAAGTACCACGAATTATAATATTACCTTATTATTTATTCTGGGAGAATTTGGAGAATGCCATGTCTCAGACATCCATGTTTGGCAGTGAATATAACAAGAATTTATAAACATCCCTCCACCCTTCATTTGCTCAAATTCCAACAATGCCTTCAGGAATGAATTTCTAAAGCCTGCATATGAGAAGGGCATTTACGTCTTTTGCACATATGAGAGTTATCATATATATATCTCATACCTTGTAGTACTTGAATCTGTTGGGGACCACAATTTTGAATGCTGAGTTGGCATTTATACCAACTATCATTAGGATCTAATGGCCCAGGTACCAAAATGTGTTTTATCTGTTACAAACAAAATAATATTTAAAAATAAAAATAAAAAAGTAATAAAAATGAACCAATATAATAAGTATACCTGCCAAAAGTCATAAGTTGGGTTGACAAGGAAAACTGGTGTATTTGTCCTTTTTACTATTTGTTCAGGAAAGAAACACTGCATGAAAGGATCAATATTACATAGTACAAAATTAAACATGAGTTGATATAATAAGGACCAATTGTGAAAAATATAGATGTACTTTCAAATTTCAATGATGTGTATGTAGAATTACTATTCCTTGAATAAAGACAACAAATTGAAATGGCACCTTGGATGCTTCCATTTTAGCAACACAGTCTTTTTTCAAGCTTCCTGTTACACCCTGACATCATGATACATGAAATTGGATCATTAATGACTGCATTTCTCAAAACACACACAAAAAAAATAAAAAAATACTGACTTTAACAACATTATAACAAATAAACTGACAAACCTGAAGATTGACAACATCATGGTAAAATGACTGAATGGTGGCATTACCAGCAACATCTTTCCTGCAAATTTATAGAATTACTTTTTTAGATCTTCAATAAAACTAGCAAATAATATTATATTATATCTACCAATATACCATAAATTAATTGTCATTGTAGAACAACATACTCATTAAGAAAGAAACCTGCATCTGATAAACACTTGACTTTAGCATCATTTGGCAAAACTCCTCTGAAGTCATCACAGTGGATGAGTGTTGCCAATCCTCCAGCTGAGCATCCAGAAAGAAGTGCCTGTGAAATTATCAACAAACAGCTTTTCAAATAAAATATCATATAATTCTACTTAACTATAGGAATAAAATGTACCTGTTGAGC